GACCCAGTGTTTCCATCAAGACCAAACAAATAAAAAGAATTAGTTCCTTTTTAATAAAAATGAAGTTACTTTTAATAAAAAAGGAATTGTTCTTTGAAAATAAAAAAACAAATAGTTCCTTTTAAACCGACCAATCCAATTCATGTAAAGCGATATCTGCTAAGGAGATATCGTTGTAGATTATGAAATTTATCACACAAGCGATATCTACTGTAGAATGTGTTATCGGGTGATAAATTAGTATATCTGTAGATAATGAGATAGAACTGGACAGACGAGTCTTTTATTCCACCCTTTACTTCTGTTTATATTAATATATATCCCGAGCTCTTTAAAACAGATGTTTACGAATATATTACTAAATTACAGATTCGTTTAGGCGGTGACATATTGAAAATATTTATGGGAGAAAAGGGTTAATCCAGATGCAGAAAGTACACAAAAAATATTTGTTAGGTATGTTAAGTTAGAAGTGTATTGTGGAGAAAGAATAATTAAATACACAACCTCCAAATAGTTTTGTTCGAGACTATGTTATTGTACTAGGTGTTCTGGAGTAATCAGTCACTGCGTCATCACTTTCCAAACTTCAAATTGACTATAGACCTCTATGATAATTAGCATAGGGCGTTGAGTCCGACCCAGATTTCATATAGACCGTAGGCTACTTCGTTTCATTTTACAACGACATTAAATTGACAAATATTTCCAGTCTGATTCAAATTTTTAACTGCTGTATGAATTTATAATGAATATAAATCAATACACATAACCTTACAACTTAGCAGAATAATGTGGTTTATTCATGTATGCACATTATCTGAATTAAGAATTATTTATTAAGGTAACTATTTTGAAACATTTACACGTCCTTATAGGTAAACACGTTAAAAATAATCTATACTTTACTCGTTATGAAAAATGAATTAAGATTATAATACATGATATACATGATACCATTCTGGATGACTTATATTCGTTATGAGTAAATACTCTAAAATAAGTTACAAAAAATTTAAAAAATTACAAAAAAAAAATTACAAGTTATACCGTACGAAAATTAAATGGTAGCTGGCTTTTTTTTTCGCACGTATACAGTGAATGGCCATTTTGCTCAGTAATCCCAGCCATAATTTGGCTATTTTTTTAAAATTGTGTTAAAGTTTTAAATTTTTGTTTAGAACTGAAATAAATTAACTTTTAGTTAATCCCCACGCTAAAAACATTAACAGAATTGATTGTGTATATCTCAAATAGACACGACCGAAGCACAAAATAGTGCCAATATGCCGACGTCAAATCTAGAGTTGTAGATGATGTTATTTTTGTGAAAAATCATTGGAAGAAGCGATAAGATGTTCTGTACGGATTATACAGTCCTAAAGGCTGCAAGAAGGCTATTGTTTACAATGTAACATTGTGCCTTGTAATGTTGATAATGATCATAATGATGGTGTTTACATTTGTTTGTTGATGTGACCTTATGACCTGTGACGTTTAGATTACGTCATATGGATATCATGGCTATTCACTGTGTCAGAGTCACTTCTCTGCAGGTAGGGTGAGTCTGTCGTTCAGATTGAAGTTATACCTGTGTTACTAATGCATTTTCTTTTGTTTCTTTGGGTTTAAAAAAAACCCGCTCAAATTGGAATACACGAACACTTGCAAAGTTGGAATTCGATATAAGAGTAGGCCATAGCGCCCGGGCAAAGTTTCCCTTATAGCACATTATATGGCGTGTATTAGCCCAGTACAGGAGCAGAACAGTAGGACATTCAACCCCATTTCATTTCATTTCACCATGGTGTAAAGGCAGTGGTGTAGTGGTGTAGCTCATCCCAAACACCCATGAAGTATTGTTACACACATGACCATAGAAAGCATGACAGTATATATGTTGGTTTCAAAATTAACGCGGGGGTTGGATGGCCGAATGGCTAGCACGTGCGCGCAGCGCTGTATCATACGATCTGTCATTGAGTCAACTGGTTGTACGTGACAACGAGTAGGGTCGCCTGTCCAACCTCGTGGATTTTCTCCGGGTCCTCCGGTTTCCTCCCACTGCTAAAGACCCCTACGCGCAAGAGAATTATTGAAATACAATTAAACCATATGTCAGTCCCGTAATGACCTAGTTTGTGTCGAGTGGACGTTAAACCTCATTTTTCTCTCCCCCCCCCCCCCCTCTCTCTTCAAAATTAACAAAGTATTGTATTCACTACCCCTTCCGTCCCGGTAAATAATTATATTCTCTTCTAATATACATAACAATAAAACAAAACAGAAAACTTCAATAATATCCTTTTTTAATGACACCAAGTCATCTTTACAATTGGAACTTTGGGGGTTTTTTTTATATCGTTTATTCTTTTATTCTTTTATGTAATTCCTGTCTCGTTAGTTAATCCCAACCGTCGTCTTGATTTCCATTGTCATATGTATAATACGCTGCATCAGGGAGATGGGATGTTTTTTTTATCATGATCAATGGAACTTGTCAGAAGATATGTATGCAAGTGTAATGTTTTATACTTATTGATAGTGTGCTTTAATACTCGGGGGAAATTAACCCCATAATATGTGTTACTAATATATTGCTTCTTACATTGAAACACGAGTAGATTGGAATACAATTTCAAATTCCAGAGACATAATACACTTGACATTTTATATATAATATGAGAAATTATAATTAAAACGTATTGTGACATTTAGACATTGCAGTAGGTAAACTAATATGTGAATATTACAAATAATACTGTATGAAATGCAATCTGATTAAAACACAGGTCCTATTTCGTTTCGTTTTTTATAGTTCAAAATTTCGTTTTATTTGTCTATTCTACACTAGAAGCTAGACGAGTTGTTATATAACCTGCGTTCTGGATGGCGTGAGGGATTAGCCAATGAAACCGTCTGTTACGACGACTTCTTGGCGTGCGATGCAGAGAACTGCTGGTAAACTAAATGTCACGGCTGAATGATTTATCAATGTCTGACGTAATAGAGCCAAAATCCTTTCGTACGACTTCTGACGCGATCTTTTACTCCAACCGGTCAGATCTTTATGTAGTGTAGACCATCGAAAGTATGAAAAAAACGAAACGAAATATAGATCGTATTTTAATCAGATTGTATGAAACGCGAAGTTGGGGATATCAAGTTTGGCATTGCAAGTAACTTAGAAGTACAACGAAACATATAGGCCAACTAGACCTGAACAAGACCTGATCATCCTAAAAGCCGTTGATCGGAATTTCTACTATTTGGACAATATTTAGTCCACGCTCAAATATACTCAAATTTATTATATAACGGTGTGTGTGTGTGAGAGAGAGACAGAGAGAGAGAGAGAGAGAGAGAGGGGTTCAAGTCCACTCGACACAAACTAGGTCATTTCGGGACTAAGATATGGTTCAGTGTTATTTCAATAACTCGCTTGCGCGAGTGGGAGGATACCGGAGGACCCAGAGAAAACCTACGACGTTGAACAGGCGACCCCACTCCTTGTCACGTACAACCGGGGAATCAAAACCACGCCAGTTGACTCTATGACAGACCTTATGATACAGCGCACATACGCTAACCATTCGGCCACCATCTGTGTAAATATTGAACACAATTGAATCATTTTGGGCTGTATTCCTTTCAGAGATTCAATTTTCAACTTCTTATCTCGTTTATTTGACACCATACACGGGGAATGCTCACTAGTCCACGGGTTCACTAGTCCACCGATATCTATTATTAGAGTTGGGATTAGGGTTCGGTTAGGCATCAATAGTCCACCGATATCTATTATTAGGGTTCGGTTAGGGTTCATTAGTCCACCGATATCTATTATTAGGGGTTGGGATTAGGGCTCGGTTAGGGTTTATTAGTCCACCGATATCTATTATTAGGGTTTATAGCCATATTTATAGCATTTCTTATAGCGGCGGACTAGTGCAACCGCGGACTAGTGAACCCCTCTCCAATATTATAGTTTGCAACGGATTCCTAAATCCCTTAAATGGCGACTATAGACTTTACATTTAATCGGGCATTATATTATTCTTGAACAACCAGCGTGTAGCATGCAGCGTATTACTTCTATTTTAAAATCGCCATTTTGTTTATAACGTTTTTTCTTTGTTGCGATTCTTTTTTTTCCTGTGGCAAACATACAAATATATATATAGGTCACTCTTCCAACCAAGGCATCAACACGACACCACCCTAGCTTAATTTGACATTAATTAACATTAATTAACAATTTATTACTTAATGAAGATTAATTAAATATGATATTCACGTAGTATATATACAAGATGTGGTTTGATTAAAGAGATATTCCTTGATAAGGCATGGATTTTGTGCTTATCTCAAGGACAATTTGAGCTCATGTGTTACTAGCACTCAAAATAAAGCAAAAGCAAAAATAATATATTCGACATTTTATACATCACCAAAACGCCAGTTTTGAGGTCAATAAAATACCAAAACGAGTTTGTGTCCCACAGTACAAATAGAAACATATAACTACGACCACATGTTCTAGAAAATGTGTGAAAATACCCCACCCTGTGTTCCAGAAGGTGCGCGAAAATACTCTACCCTTTGTTCTAAAAGATGTAGGAACATATCTTACCCCCTTTTCCTGAAAATGCGCAAATCATACCTCCTGCCCTTTTATATTTCAGAAGATATTCAACCCTGTGTTCCAGAAATTGCGTGAACATCCCCATTACGGGTGCTTCAGACGGTGCGCGAACATGCCATTGCCTGTGTTCCAGAAAATGCGTGAACGCGCCCTTACCAGTTTTCGGACATAGCCTACGCCGTGTTGCGGAAAATCCGTTAACACGCGTACATTACTCCGTGTTCTAGAGAGTGCGCGAACACACCCTACCCCGTGCACATTTTAAAGATATGAAGGAATTCCTACCCCTTTAAATCCGACAGTATTAATCACTGAGATGATATTTGATGGTAAATATAAAACCTATTTATTTCAGGCGTGTGGAATGACTGACATCATGGCGGCTTTGTTTGGCGTTTACTGGTTATTAGATGAAAACTGTGGACAGGTGAAGATTAATTTTAACAGGTAAGTCACTGATTATTTATCTCACCTGTTCAATATGTATCTATATACCTGTACAGGGATTTCACATGTGAAATATATCCATGGAATGCGTTTAATTATTTCACATCTTCGCAAACCAGAAGTACATGATCAGGGTCTGATTATGAAACTGTGCGTGCGACCCTTGACCAAGCAATCATCGTCGTTACCCAGCGTGAACAAGAATACATAATCAGGGGTTGATTGGGGAACTGTAAGGCCCCACGAAATGCCACTTCACTGATCCACCGTCGTTAACCAACGCCAACCAAGAATACACAATTCGGGTCTGATTAAGGAATACACAATCCGGGTCTGATTAAGGAACACGTGGGGCCACTAGAAAAGACATTTCACTAGCCCATCGTCGTTAACTGAGGAATTGCAAAAACGATAGGATAGCAAGGACATTTTTTTTTATTTCACCTATCATGTTTCTTTACAGAATGATTAAAATTTAAATATATATCATATTTAGAAACAGATTGAAACACCTGATATATCATTACAGAATTACCTGGACATATTATCAGGTATCAGGTTCGAGAGTCAAATTGAAAGGAAAAGCATTTTAATCAATCTCAAATATCTTAAATATGTAATATTTACGAGGAAACATGAAATGAATAACACAAATAATAATGGATCCGAGTCGGGGGCAGGTTTCACACCCACCCCACCAATAAATGACAGTTTTGATGCTAAAAGTAAAACTAATTAAACCAAGTATTGACCAGAATCGGTTATTTAGACGGGCAATCGGTCCTTCACCAGTGATTGTTTGACGGTTTGGTTGGCCCTTCACCAGTGATTGTTGATTGTTTGACGGTTTGGTTGGCCCTTCACCAGTGATTGTTCACTAGTGATTGTTTGACAGTTTGGTTGGTCCTTCACCAGTGATTGTTCACCAGTGATTGTTTGATGGTTCGGTTGGTCCTTCACCAGTGATTGTTTGACACCAGTGATTGTTTGACAGTTTGGTTGGTCCTTCACCAGTGATTGTTTGACGGGTTGGTTGGGCTTGATTCACTAGTGGATGTTTAACAGTCTGGCTGGTCATACTATCTATCGAATACACCCCGGTCGAGATCACGCTTTTGACCTTGAAATTTCCTCGGGGGAGCGAGAGAGAGAGGGGGGGGGGGCATTTCATGATTAAAACATGGTTCAATTTTATTTCAATGATTCGCGTGCGAACAGGCTACCCTAGTCCTCGTCATGTGCCACCGAACAATCGAAACAACGCGCTCGCGCTAGCCATTCTGCCATCTCCCCACCCCTATGGCTTGCAAGTAAAAGGTATATTTTGAAGAATGGGCGGAAGCAGCGCTTCTCGGGCAAGACCCCCCCCCCCCTCGTTTGTCTTCATTAGCCCACCTGGTGGAGGAAACGATGAGGTTAATCACCATTTCATTTTCAACATGGTTATAATTTTATTTATATATAATGTGCCAGTCAGGTATTCTGGGGTTTTTTTGCCATTGTGTGAGGTAATTAGGTCAGGTAACTATATATGATATACCAGGTAGGTAAAGTTTATATATACACCCATTAGTCACTTAAATACACGGTCGATCTATTTATAGCAATATGTACTCTTGCAGTTGATGTAACCTTACCAAATTGCAATACAATAGGCGATAAAGCGTTACGAAAAAGATTAAGTCAAATACCTTATGACGTCGTTTTTTTCTAGGAAATTAAAGGGAGGCAAACAAAATGTCGTACATACATATATCGTTATAGTGGTTAAGTCGGTAAGGTGCTAGCTTCGAGGTCGGGTGTTCGATCCCTGCATTGGTTGAGAAAGTTCACCTAAATTTTCCCACATGTTTTCTCTTGCCAGTGGGCAATGGTGCAGGACGGAGGGCCTTACAAGGCACAAGTGTCTATTCGTTCGGGTGGTACGAAAAACCGAGGTCCCGTGTATACATTGACATGCACGTAAAAGATCCCTTTGCAGTTGGAATTCGATATAAGAGTAGGTCATATAGTGCCGCTGCCCGGGCAAAATTTCCCTCATAGCACGCTGTATGGTATATAGCCATTAAACACCATTTCATTTATATCGTTATTCTTTAGTAACTCGTTTTTCGTCTATTTATTGCTTGGAATCCTAATGTTTACGTCAACCATCAATTGTGTCATGTGTGGAAGGGTCATACCTGAACGATTTTTATTTATAACTATTAACATTTAATAATTATAATTATTATGGTTCATTGAAGACAGTTTGCGTCAATTGTTTTTTGTTTTTTTTGTTTTTTTAAAATTGATTATTTAAAGTTGCAATTTCATATTTTTAAGTTATATTTTTAAAATTTATTAAAATAAAGCCTTAAAATAGATGGTATCTATAAACAGTCCTACCTTGTTAAAGAATAATCCTATTAATCCTATAATTCACTATTGCCAGTTGAGAAATTGGCAAAAATATCATTTTCATCGACAAATTCAAACGTTTGAAGTTAGCTACTCCGTGGTGGAGAATAGAAATTGAGTTTAACGTCCTACTGTTCTGCTCCTAACCTGGGCTAATGAAGACGGGCATACGCCATACAGTGTGCTATGAGGGAAATTTTGCCCGGGCAGCGGCACTACGGCCTACTCTTATATCGAATTCTAACTGCCAAGGGATCTTTTATGTGCACGCCAATGTGTACACGGGACCTCGGTTTTTCGTCCCATCCGAACGACTAGACAGCTTTCCTTGTCAGCCTCTCCGTCCTGCATCACTGACAAGGGAGAACCACGCCGGAAAATCTGGATGAACTTTCTCGGCCAATGCAGGGATCGAACACCCGACCTCCAGGCTAGCGAGCTAGCGTCTTACCCACTTAGCCACGTGATCCCCACTTTAACAAGAAAATAAAACCAAATACCAACGCTAGATTACCTCCCGGCTGGGATTTGATTCGATTAAAAAGGAGGTCCATGAAATGATTTTCGAAAAAATTACAGGTGGCGCTGGCTTTTTACAATATCCCATTTGTATCGTCTGTAGAGAAGAAACACGATGATAAATGGAATTTGTGCTAGGAAGGAGTATAAGTAAATATTGTTTCAGCTTGTCGCCAGAATTATATACGCCACCCACTAAAAAAAACCTCGTAGCCATTCTACACAACATGATGCTAATCAAATCACACACAAAAATACTAAACACCGACATTAATGGCGACATTTTAATAAAAGATCTATTTATTTAACAAAAATAATGGTTAAAATCACCCGATTCGACGTTCATCCCCCGTCGATGTGGTCTTATCAAATTGTTTTAATTTGCCCCGGGGCTGTTAAAAATGGCGTTGGACGTGGTTTAGTCAGCCCATGGTTGATTAAACCGGAATTCCAAATACCACGAACTCTGGTTCTTGCTAATAATCAAAATGGTATCAGTTCTGGTAACTGAAAGCTAATGTGTCAGGATGCCTGAAGCCAAGATCGTTTTTATTTCTGACTTCAAATTACCTGGCTTTTTCAATAGACAGGCGTCTGGGTATGTAATATGGAGAAAATCAAGCCTCGTAGCAAAATGGCGACTGAATGATAACAGATTGTGTGTTATTCAAATAAAAGCTTTAGTGAGAAGCAATCTAGTCTTTATTTATTAATAACATTCTCATTTTCTTTCAATGTGTTATATAAACATTTATCTAACACGCTTCCACTCTTCCCAACATTGATTTTATTCCGCCATGTATACAAGGGAGGTTACTCTTGGCTTGGGACCACTAATTCACTGTGGATTTTATATAAATCTTTGTTTACGTATACAAACATAATTTATTATAAAAATACAGTATGCAAAAGCCACTGATTTGTATTTTTTGACACGGGACACAATTTTATGGAATGCATTTATTGTTTATTGCTGAGCAAGGTTTCGTTCAGACTTTATCAAGCAACGATAAAATATAATTAGACATAAATTAACTTATCCAGACCATAATCAACTCTCGATGCCATTGCTAGCCTGTGATATTTAGCGGATTGGAATACATGTTTAGAAAAATAATTAAACGTAAAAAAGGATACCGATTTAGTAATGATGATCGAGGCTAACCTAAAATTCTAAAGCTGTATCATAAAGCCTGTCATTGATTCGACTGGCGTGGTTTCGAATCCCCGGTTGTACGTGACAAGGAGTAGGGCCGCCTGTCCAACCTCGTGGGTTTTCTCCGGGTCCTCCGGTTTCCCCCCACTGCTAAAGACCCCTACGCGCAACCGAATTATTGAAATAAAATTAAACCATATGTTAGTCCCGAAATGACTAACGCCACCTGGCCTATGTTACTCCCTGGTCCGAGCTACCCCTATACCCCAAATTTCAGACTCGGGGCAGACCTAGTGTAGCCGCCAACCCCGAACAGACCGGCTTTGCTCGGGGGTCATAACTCCGAAACCGGAAGTGGTAGACTAACGCCACCTTGCCTATGTCACTTCCCGGTCCGAGCTACCCCTATACCCCAAATTTCAGACTCGGGGCAGACCTAGTGGAGCCGCCAACCCCGAACAGACAGACAGACAGACAGACAAACGACAGTCACAAATATATATATATAGATAGATGAGTATTGCCTGGACTAGGATTAATGTTTCTCGCTGATATAACCACTTTTTTTACACTACAAAATATGTCTATAACTTGATGTCTAGGTGTGTGTGACGAGACCCAATAAGATGAAGTTAACCAGAATGAACTTATAGTCAGGCGGGTTTACTATTATATATGGCAACTTTTAACGAAGTGATTCAATTCGTTTGAAAAGAGCATTTATCTTGTGTGTAGCTAACGCATTTATCTTTGTACGTTCTTTTGTACATTGGAATGTCGTTCATTAAACCGACAACATATCGTGTGCTATAGGATAGTCTATCTTCATAAATAATATGTCGTTTATTTAATAATAATATTGTTGTTGCGTTTATTTCGAGCAACCATGATAAACTAAAGCCCGTCCTGTGTTTATGGCAGTGTG